CAATGATCTATGCCCACTATTACTAGTCTCTTCAAATCCCCACTAGATATTTCCTATTTCTTTCACCCCTCCTCCATGCAGCAAACTCCGCTTTGGCCTCCTCAGCCTCAGTTCCTCTGTCCCTTCCCCTTCTCACTTTGGACATTTATATGTATCCTACTAGTTATCATTTTGTTTTTACAATAGTGGTCTTATGCAGGGCTGTTGTTAGGTGCCATCTAGTCCAGTATGACTAACAGGACCCTATGATTTGAATGCTATTTTATCCTGAGCCATCCTCATACTTCCTGATACACGAGAGCCCATTGCAGCAGTCACCATGTCAGTCCACATGGTTGAGAGTCTTCCTCGCTTTTGCTGACCCTCCACCCTTCCCAGCATCTTGTACCTCTCCAAGGAATAGCCCTTCCTAGCAACATGTCCAAAGTATGTGAAACAAAGCCTCATCATTCTTGCCTCCAAAGAGTAATCTGTCTACACCCAAAAGACATATTTGTTTGTTCTTTTGCCAATCCACTGGATGTTTAGTGCTCTTCTCCAATACCATAGCTCAAAGGCATCAATGTCTTCTCTGTCCTTATTCATTGTTCAGCTCTAAAAAGCATAGCAAGTGATCAGAAAGACTATGGCCTGAATCAGACGCACATTACTCCTCAAACTGACATGATTGCTCCTAAACAATTTTGAGAAGTCACTAACTGCCGATTTTCCCAGTAATGCATCTCTTTATTTCCTAACAGCTGGTACCAAGGGTATTAATTGCGGATCCAAGTAAGATGAAGCTGTTGACAGTTTCGCTCTTCTCTCTATCCATCATGATGTTGTCTATTGGTCCAGTGTTAAGAATCTTTGTTTTCTTGACATTGAGATGTGATGTATTTGCAGTATTTGTCCTTAAAAGCCTGAGTTATTTCATGCAACATAATGTTCTCTAGCCTCTCTTGGGTTAATGTAGTATTTATTGAAAGCATTGCTCCTAAATGCTGCTTAGTATTCCATTGTATGTGCTGCAATTTCTCAATCGATTTGTTTATGGTTAGGCATTTGGGCTGTTTTCGTACTTTTATTATTATGAATAATGCTGCTATGAACACCGGTGTACAAATCTCTATTTAGGTCTCAGTTCATTTTCTTTGGAGTATATTCCTAGCAGTAAAATAGCTGGGTCATACAGAATTTCTATGTTCAGCTTTTTGAGCAAACACCAAAATGCCTTCCAGAATTGTTGTACCATTTTACAATCTGACCAATGGTGTATGAGCATTCCAAGCTCTCCACATCCTCTCCAATATTTATTACTTGCTGCCGTATTAAACTTCGCCCCTGCAAAGTGAAATGGTATCTCTGCCCCTGCAGAGTGAGATGGTATCTCATTGTGGTTTTCATTTATATCTCCCTTATCACCAATGAGTTTTGAGCATTTCTTCAAATGTCTTTTGGCAATATGAATGTCTTCCTCTGTGAAAGATCTTTCTGTGTCTTTTGCCCATTTTGTAATTGTGTTATCAGTCTTTTTCTTGTGGAGGCCCTATAGCATCCTGTAAACTATTGTTATGTGACCCTCTGAGATGTTATTGCTAAACCTCTTTTCCCAGTCAGTTGCTTTTGTTTCACCCTTTTGGAAGGTTTTTGATGCACGTAGAGACTTAATCTTTAAAAGGTCCTATTCAAGGGAGCTCTGATGGCCCAGTGGCAAGAAGCTGCACCGCAATCCCAGAGGTACATGGTTTGAATCTACCGGATACTCTGCTAGAGAAGGAGGGGCAATCTACTCCTGTATCAGCGACTGTACACACACACACAAAATAATAATAAAATAAATTTTTTAAAAAGGTCCTATTCACAGATGCCATCCTTTCCTCTTTATGCAAGTTGTGGTTTTTGGAAAGCATTTTACAAACATTATCTCATTTAATCATCATAACAATTTTAATTGGTATTGGTATCTCCGTTTTGTAGTTATCAATTCACTTAACACTTATTTTATTGAAAAGCTACTATGTGCCAAGTACTTTTACATGTGAGTTGTTGTTATAGTATTTTAACATGGCATCGAGTATGACTTATAGCAACCCTATGAACAACAGATCTGAATCCTGTCCTACCCTATACCATCCTTGTCATTTCTGATATATTTGATTCCATTACTGCAGCCACTGTGTCATTCCATCCTTTTGAAAGTCATCCTCCACATTGGCAAGCACGATGTCCTTTTTTAAGGAAGGAAGCTCTGGTGGCGTAGTGGGTAAGGAATTGTGCTGTCAACCCAAAGGTACATGGTTCAATCCAACTGCTCCACGGGAGAAAAAAAAATGGAGACTTTCCTCTGGAGCAATTTATTGTTTCTGAAAACCAGTTGGAGCGTTAGCTTTAGGTCAGTTCTGGAAATAGTTCATAACAGCAACATGCCCGAAGTATGTGAGACGAAGTTCACTCTTTTTGCTTCCAAGAACACTCTGGCTACATTTTCGCTAGGACATATGTGTTTGTTCTTTTGGCAGTCCACGGACACTCAGAATTCTTGGTAATACTGAATTTAAGCAGCTTCAATACAGGCTGCATTTCAGTGAGTCTTGGAACTGGAGTAGTTCCCTTTTGCATGATCCACCTTGTGGTCCTTGAAGGTAATAACACCCTTTTCTACCTCATTGCTATGCAATGCATCTTCTGTGCTGACCTATGCAGATTTCATAACTTGCACCACTTGGAATTTCTGGTTTAAACCTCAAGAAAGCACCTATCCTGGTTGCCTTACCCAGTTGTTCTTTTTTCCACTTCAGCTCTTTTTCTGAACCCAACTGTATTATTGGCATGATGCTTAATCCCTGTGTGGCTTTTGGTTATTGGGCTAGATCAGTGTCCTGATATCTAAGACAGTTGTCAGGATCATGGTTGGCATTGTTAGTTGGAGAAGTAGTGCAATTTTCTGTGTAGTTTTCCTTGTGACTCATTTGTCCTTTTGAGGTCATTCATCATCCATCACTCATACTCTGAGCATGTAGAAGCTGTCCATTTACTTGTGCTGGTAGCCTGCAACAATTATTATTTATATATATTTCCCTTTAATATTTCCTACACTTCCATGTTCATACTGTTCCTCCCCCTCCCAAAGAGATACTATCAGAGAAGGTCCTCAGCATTTGTGGTTTCCATGTTGGTATCACTGTGTTAATCTACTTACTAGCCATGTTATCTGCTCTTAATCTCTTACACTTTCTACATCGTATTTGCCACCCTGTATGTGGTCATCCCTCCTGCACTGAAACTTATCACCTGTGGAGAAAAGGGGGAAAGTATCTTTATATTCTTCCTTAAAAGAATGCTCGTCTCCTCTCCGTCCTGAGCTGCACCACTCTCCTTCATCTTCTTTCACTGCTTTCTGGATCATTCAATATTCTGGCCACAGCATCCTTAAGTATTGTAACTCAAGGCTTGAATTTGTTCTTCGGTTCCTTCAGTTTAAGAAATGCTGAGTGAGTTCTGCCCTTTTGATTTCCAACTCCAGCTCTTGGCACATTTCATTATAATATTTTGCTTTATCTTCCTGAGCTGCACTCTAGAATCTTCTGTTCAGCTTCTTAACGTCCTGCTTTCTTCCCTTTCCTTTGGCTTCTTGGAGCTCTAGTGAAATATTTAGAGTCTCCTCTGGCATCCAACTCGGTCTTTTCTTCCTTTTCTGTCTTTGTAAAGGCTTTTACATTCTTCCTGGATGATGTTCTTTTTTTTTTTTTTTTTTTGTGGCCTGGCGATGCCGGATCCGCTCCACTCTCACCGACTTTCCTTTGCTAGCGGTAATGAACCACGAACCAGAAAGCCGCGGCACGTGAGCCACCGTGCTCCACCGGTGAGCTACATCTCCAGACCCCTGGATGATGTTCTTAATATCCTCCCACAGCTCATGTGGTCTTCATCCATCCGTGTTCAAGCCCTCAGCTCTGTTCCTGAGATGGTTTTGAAATTCAAGTGGCATAGACTCAAGGTCAAATTTTTATTTTTGTGGATTTGATTTCACCTTGTTTAGCTTTAGTTAGGTTTTGGAAATGAAAAGAGGATTTATTTTTTATTTTTTATTTTTTTAGCAACTTACACTGCCCTACCAGTGGTGGCACCTAGTGTTAGCTTTCCCCAACCTCATCCAAAGAGGGAGGCTTTCATCCATTAAAGGAGTTGAGGGAAGTTTCTTCACTGTTGATAAGTCATCAGTGTTGAGAATAAGAGGGAGAAAACTTTACTAGAAGACAAAGAACTATGTTAACTGCTTTTTTTGCTTTTAACCCTTGACTGCAAAGCAACAGAAGACTGACACAACCTGGTTGTATAGAATTCCATGGTTTCAAAATGCTTTCATAACCTTTTTCTCCCCAGTTAGATCCTTAAACAATGGCCCAGTGAGATAGATGTTGGAAAGTCTAAAAAGGGGCACTCAATCAAAATTTGGGAAGGTTGCATAAGACCCATAGCATCTAGAAAAGCTTTTACCTCTAGTCCTTTTTTTCTCTTCATCGTATACTGGCAACTCTTTAATATATTTTCATATGTATGAATGGTACTACCTAGTTTAGTCAGTTATTCATATTACAAGATTATTGATTTCTTTTTCTACTCATTCCCTATTTGCTAAATAAATGTTATACAAATTTTAATGGTAAGTATCCCAATATATAGTTGTAATAGCTGATGGGAAAGGCAAATGAAATCTGAAATTTAAACAGAGGAAAGAGAAGTATTTTTGTTTGGTAGTAGTAAAGATAGTCTTTTATTGTTAAATACTGAGGAAATCTGTAGATATTTAAAGCAGTACTTTTCACATCTGTGAATTTATGAATATATTTCTATTTTTTAAAAAGGCTTATATGGTCAGAAGCATCTCTATTCATGGAAAAAGGAGACCAATTTCCTTGGCAAGTAGGCTCTCTCCTAGATGGCAACTTATTTGTCCTCTTAACCTCTAATAGGATCCATCCTTTGTTGTAATAAATTGTCATAAGATCCAGTAATCCTCAGCAACACTTTCCTTTTGGAGAAAACACAAGGGCCACTCTTTCACGAATCTGTTTGGTTTTTACTCCATAAATAATTGGATTCATCATGGGGGGAACAAGAACATAGAGATTAGCAAGCAAAATGTGGACATGCTTGGGGATTTTTCTACCAAAGCGCTGAGCAATGACTGTGAAAATCCCTGGAAGGTAGAACATGAGGATGACACAGACATGGGACCCACAGGTGCTGAGGGCTTTCATCCGAGCATCGTGTGATGGCAGTTTGAAGACTGCCCGGAGAATGAGCCCATAAGAGATGACTATTGTCACCATATCTAGCATAACACTGAGTAGTGGCACAGAGATTCCATACCAAATGTTGATGGTGATATCAGCACAGGCCAGCTTTGCCAGCCCCATATGTTCACAGAATGTGTGGGTGATGATATTTGTCCTGCAGAAGGGCAGACGCTTCACAAGGAAGACAATGGGGAAGACAGTTGCAAAACTCCTGAAAACCACAATACCTCCTATTTTGCCAATGACACTGTGGCTAAGAATGGTGGTATACCTCAGGGGGTAGCAGATGGCGACAAAACGGTCAAAGGCCATGGCTAACAGGATGCCTGATTCGACCACAAAGGCAAAATGCATAAAGAAGAGCTGGGTGACACAGCCACCAAAAGAGATGTCCACATCATCAAACCAGAAGATGCTGAGGGCTTTAGGTACTGTGGATGTGGATAGAATAAGGTCCCAAAATGCCAGCATGGACAGGAAGAGGTACATGGGTTCATGAAGGCTGCGCTCCACTGCCACCACACAGATGAGGATGCCATTGCCCGACACAGCCACCAGGTACATCAGGAAGAAAGGGATGGAGATCCATAAGTGCAGCTCCTTCAGGCCAGGGATACCAATCAGCACAAACATGTCATAATTGACAGTAGAATAGTTAGGGGCAGACATACCAGCATGTTGGTCTGAAACTTTCATCACTTTCTGTGTAAAGAGAAAGAAAGTAAGTTATCTTGTCACCACCAGTCAGCTTATATTTACCAACCTCAGTGGACCCAAGCATCTACAGGAGAAGTTCTCAGTTAATGCATTTTTACTTACTAAGGTTCTCAATTATTGACTTAAATATATTCAGTATTTTGTCTTGATGAGAAAGAATCACAAAGACTCAAGTTCAAATTAATTTTTAAAATGTTTCAAGGAAAAGATAGAGGGTGGTTATTACTTTTTCTCATAATTGATATAAACTTGAAATTATTACCATACATAAATGGTAAAACAACAATCAATTGTATGATCTAAGCATCTTAAGACAGGAAAGAGTATTTTGAATTTTTGTAAAATTATATAAAAAAGAGTAAAAACAAATAATTTATTTTACTGAACTAGTTAGATAATAATTTTAGAATCTAGCACAGATGTTTAGGTAATCAACAAATATCTATTATTAACCTAAAATGTGTGTAGAGAAATCGACATGAGCATGCAGGGATAAGAGAGTTCAGAAGGCAATAACACAGAAGTCCTACATATAATTTTATGAAAAACATGAACCTGACTGTTACAGTAAGTTCCTTTCCTCTCATCTATGCAGCAAATTACACTTGTTGTTGGTAGGTGCTGTCATGTTGACACCTATTACTCAAAGCAACCTTGTGAACCTGGTGATCAGTCAATATTCTGCCCATAATATCCTTAAGTATTGTTAGCTTGATGCTTGAATTTATTCTTTCGTTTCTTCTGCTTAAAAAATTCCAAGCAAGTTCAGCCCTTTTGATTTTCCAACTGCAGCCTATCTAGGCCATGGTCTTCCAATTCTTTGCTATGTATCAGAGAGCAGGAAAATAACTAAAGATGACAGAAGAAGAGTCAATGCCTTTGAGTATTGAGCATACCATGGACCACCAAGAGAACAAACAGTTCTGTCTTGGAGAGAGTGAAACCAAGTTTCTCCTTGGAGGCAAGGATTTTGAAGCTCCATCTCACATTCTTTGGGCACATGACCAGAAGGGACCAGTTCTTGGAGAAGGAAAGGAGGAGGGACAGTGCAGGTGAGAAAGACCTCAATTGAGATGGAGTGACACAGTAACCGGGGTAGTAGTCAGAGTCGGTGAAACTGGCTCAGAATAGGGCTCAGAATTCAGAGCTTTTGTAATCGGGTCACTATTAGTTGTGAGTGACTCGATGGCACGCAACAGCTACAACAGTCGTATGAACAACAGATCTGAACCTTGTCCTGTCCTGCACCCTCCTCATGACCTCCACCATGCTCGGGCTTATTGTGATAGTCACCATGTCATTTCATCATTTCATCTCTTGAGAGTCATCCCTTTGTTGACTCGTTGATCCATGTCCAAAGTATGTCAGACGAAGTTTCCCCATCCATTTCAGAAGAACTCTGGTTACACTCCCTCTAGATTTATTTGTTCTTTTGACAGTGCATGGGATGTTCAATATTCTTTGCCAACCCACCAATTCACAGGACTGATTTTTCTTCAATTTCTTGTATTCCTCATCCAACTTTCAGATGCACACCAACCAACTGAACCAGCATGGCTTGGACCAGGTACATCTTAGTCTTTAAGCCAATATCCTTGCTCTTTAGCACTGTAAAGAGGTCCTTAACAGTTGATTTCCCCAATGCAAAACATCTTTTCATTTCTCTACTGCTGCTATGGGTGTTGATTACAGATCCAATTAAAATGAAATCGTTGACAATTTCCGTTTCTTCTTCATCTGTCGTGTTTTGTCTATCAATCCAGTGGTGAAGATTTTGTTTTCTTGACACTGAGATGTAATCCATAATAAAGGCTGTACTCTTTGATCTTCAGTAAATGCTTCATATATTCTTCACTTTCTGTAAGCAACGTTGTGTCATCTGCATAACACAGGTTGTTGAGTATTCTAATCCTGATGTCACATTCTTTTTCATAGAGTCCAGCTTCTTGAATTATTTGCTCAGTATACATATTGAGTAGAAATGGAGAAATATTATAATCTTAGCATATATATTTTCTGATTTTAAACCATGCAGTGTTCCCTTGTTTTGTTTGAGTAGCTGCTTTTTGTTTTATGTTAGGTTTTGCATAAGCACAATTAAGTGTCTTAGGATTCCCATTCTTCTCAATGTTATGCATAATTTGTTATAATCGAGACAGTCAAATGTCTTTGCATAGTCTGTAAAACACAAGAAGACATCTTTCTGGTATTCTCTGCTTTCAGCCAAGATCTATCTGGCATCAGCAATTATATTCCTCATTAATACAGTATTTTCTGAAATTATGAAGCCCTGTGTTGATTCTGACTAATAGCAAATACATGTGACAAATTAGGACTGTTCCCTTAAGATTTTCTTGGCTGTGAACATCTTGTCTAATGGGTAAGTTCAAACCACCACTAATTTGATTAGTAGCTAAACACTGAACCAGTACATCCAGTTGTTGTTGGTGGTGTTTAAAAAAACCGGAAGATCATCCCTATTGAATCAGAACTGACTCATAGCTCTCTCTCTCTCTCTCTCTCTCTCTCTCCAGAAGGTTTTCAGGGTCCTGTAAATCTCATAGGAGGAGATTTCTCATCATTCTCCCTTGGAGCTGGTGGTAGATTCAAACCACTGGAGACACTGCCTTTGAGTTAGCCAGTTCCTACAACTAGGCCATCAGTGCTCCTTCTTGATCAGTGTAAGTGCTATCAAGCCAATTCCAACTCCTAGTGACCCTGTGTACCACAGAATGCAATTCTGCCTGACTCTGTGCCATCCTCATAATCTCTGCCTCTTTACGTCCAGAGTTGCAGTCATTGCATCAGTCGATCTTATTGAGGGTCTTCCTCTCCTTTGCTGACCTCTTGTTTTTCTAAGTGTAAAGGTTTTTTCCAGGGCCTGACCCCTCTTCATAACATGGCCAGAGTAAGTGACATGAAATAGCACCATCTGTGCCTGGAAAGGCTCTTTGGTGGCACTTCTTCCAAGACAGATTTACTTTTCCTAAAACAGATGAAGCTTTGTATTGAATTTTACCAAGGTTAGCTTAAAATTCTTTTATCTATCAAAGATTTTTATTTAGTCACAAATGTCTAAACTTAATTTCCTCAAATACTGTAACTTTGTAATTTGAATAACTATAAAAAATGTTAGAAGTGCAATAGGAATCCGAGACCAACCATTTCTTTTTAAACTCTTCTTACTTATAATAGATTTAATAATTTATTCTCTTGATATGTTAGTTTTAATTGTTGTTCCCCCCCATGACTGCTTATGAATGTAACTAGCAAACAAGAAAATTCTGTCCTTGAAGGATAATAGTGCAATTTATTTTCCTCAAAATTTCCTTCTAGAAAGAGTAAACTTAAACAGTTTCGTGTTCTTCTACCAAAAACATTACCAAAAATGTCATTACTTGTACAACTTTTCATCTTAAATGAAAATTTCAAGTATTGCTATGAATACTTTGTGTGTCTGAGAGAAACAAAATTGGTATAAATCAAAGGGCTTCCAATTAAAAAACTTACAATAAAGACTAAAAGAGAATTTAATCTCATCCCTTAATTGTGCATTCCCAGATGTAGAGTTCAAAAAATTAGAGAGAGAAGCACCACAAACTCACCAACTCCATTTTCAGTCAAATCAGTCCCTCAAACCTCTCACCTACAACCTGCCACACAATTGGAACACTGACTATTTCTGTGGCTGTAAACTCAGACACATAATTACTAAAACAAGGAAATATTTTTCTCCCAAGAGGGTTAGAAAGATTGAAAAAATATTCATATGGTTGAGAATAAAAAAACAAATCTCCTTCTAGGAATCTTTGAGAGCCACTTCCACATGCTGAATGGATTCCATTACTGATAAATGAACACACAATGGGATATTTGAGCTGTGGTGCTGGAGAAGAGCACTGAACATTCCACGGATGGCCAAGAGAACAGACAGATATGTCTTGGAGAGGGTGCAGCCTGAGTGCTCTTTGGAGGCAGGAATGATAAGGCTTCACCTCACATACTTTGGACATGTTGCTGGGAAGGGCTATTCCTCAGAGAAGGACATAATGCTGGGAAGGGTGGAGGCTGGCAAAGGAGAGGAAGAGCCTCAACTAGGTGGATTGACACGGTGACTGCTGCAGTGGGCTCCTGTGTGTCAGAAAGTGTGAGAATAGCACAGGAGAGAACAGGGTTCCGATATTTTGTTAAGGTCGCTATGAGTCATATTTTACTCAACGGTACCTACCAACAATGGGATATATAACACTCTAAAGAAGATCAAATTCAAATTTTCTAAACCTTCCGTTATTTTAAATAGCCTAAAAATTGATGATCTTTATTTTAAAAAAATTGTTTTCTCATTAAAATATAAAACATTTGTTATTAGGAAATATCAACTATTTCATGTTTATAAACATTATTAAAAAGAATAAGGGAGATTATCAGAAGATTATGCATAGTATTAGTGGAAATGTTATATATGCATATATTTGCATAGATAAAATATATGGTAGATGAAACAAGGAACTATTTCAATAGGTAGATGAACAAACAACTATTTCTATAACTAATAAAGCAATATATCATGTTATTTTATCTATCTTATGTGATAATTTCTTTTTTCTGACCATATATATATACTTTTGTGATATTGTTTTACCATTTTTAACTGTATGGCAGTAATTTGAAGAGGTCATTTTGTTATTAACGGGAGTACTGGTTTCAAACTTTTTTCAAATTTTTTAATTCGTAGTCCCAATCCTTAGTCAAGTTTACCTAATGTCATCTCTTATTCACTGCTCTGCTTTTGTGTTGAACTAGCTTTAAGCACATGCAGCATCTGGAGGTATCTCTTGACTTTTTAAGAGAAATAATGAAGTATGGTATTGATTAATACTATCACTTAAAATACTGGTTGATCAGTGCCATAAATTGGTATTATAATAAGAGGAGGTACAGTTACCAAAGAA